GTTATCATTAAAAGGGTTCTACATGACACGCTTTGATTGGTTAGGAACGTCATTAGAACAGGGCTGTGGTTAAAACTTGTTAGATTACAGTGGAGACGAAAAATATCAGGAAATGAAATTGTAATCTAATTTTAATTAATTTGGATTAACCTAGGCTTAAAATAATGAGACAGCCAATAAAAACACTACCTTATTATTCCAAAAAATCTGTGAGGTACAACTAGTGTAAATTATTTATATTAATGGGACACCTTGAGCAGAATATTTGTTATGTTACTGTATATTTATTGTATAATGTATATAATTGTCAAATATTTTATACAAAGTGTAAAATAATTATACATTATCTCATACATATTCTAGTGTTATCTATATTCCTGGCATATACAAGAAGTTTTCATGTCCAATATCTGTAAAAAAAATATCTGTACAGGTCATAAGATCCCTGTTGGGGCTTTGGTTGATCAACGAGTAAGAAGTTTCCCTGCTGACTTCAGGCCTTGTATGATTTATGCATGTCAACAATCCTTCAACAGTTGCAGCCCCTAAAGAATAGACTTGTGCTGGTCTCTTGACAAAAATTTTCTTGTAATAATAATTAGCCCAACAAATCTGGTATGACGTGCTAAAGGGATGGGATATTTGCGTGACTAGGAATAGACATCAAATGTCATCTTTAATTGGAGTTGCTCCGACCAATTTTTGCGTTGCTCCTTTTTAAGCCTTTTCACCATGTTAAAAGCCTAATTTTGCATACATTTTGTTATCTTTACAAAACTAAACCATTAATAAGTCCATCAAGACATCACTGGATATTCTATGTTCTTTTTTGCCAATATATGCATCCATATATTAAGTCAGAGAAATAAATAGGGCTAAATTTGTCGGCTAAAATTCAAAAAAGCTCAAGCTTTTTATGTCAATATGTGGGAAATATTTCAAAAATTATGTTGTATCCTTACAAAAAGATCAATCATCATTGTATAAAATTCAAGCCCATCTGCCATATTACTCATTTATCATGACCGATTGCTTCAGATTTACTGAAGGGTAAGAAAGAGTGCTAATTATATTCACAATTACACTTTATATCACAAGTCCTTTAATGCTCACTTCATAATCAAGACTACAATCATGAAGACTTTTTAGGGTTTAATATCTCTGGATGTTCTCGCCAAAATTCTTCCCGTATAATATCGCAGTGTAATGTCTGTATCCGTGACGATTGAAGATGGTGGTTATTGGAAAAAGCTGATTTACTTCTGGTCTGGTTCCCACTGGAAGTCTCACTGTCTGAGGAAGGCTGGAATTACATGAAACAAATCTCATCAGCAAATATATATATATAACAAACATTAAGTACAATAATAGAAACTGAAACATTTTATACTTTTCTGCATGGTTTGAACTCTAAAAAAAAAAACATATTATAGCTACCCAAAATTGTTTTTTTTATTTCAAAAGAGAATCCCAAATATAATGCTATTCGCTAAGGTGAAGAGTACATAGTTAAGCAAAGGCATTTGTGCGAAAACTAGGATGAATTAAAACAAGAACATGAGCGATTTATTTCAATTTAAGGTTGAGAAAAATGGACACAGAAACAAAACAGTCTTGTATTATGTTGTGTTCATAACTACTTCAACTATCTCAAAATAAATCTATAAAATATGCTGATTACTACAAATAATAAAGTTGCCAGTCTAAGTAAGGTTTGGAATTGTACCCTATAGAAGTAAACAAGTATTAAACCTACCTTATTGCGTATTAAAATAGAACCCTTTCTATATAAATCTGATAAATTATTATAATTGATATCAAACTCAGAAAATAATATTTCATTTTTATCACTAGATAATGTTCCCTGGAATACAGAAATATAAGTTTTTGAGTTGCTTCAGCAGCATAGAATGAGCAGTTGAGACAAATCTCCGAAAAAAGAACAACCAAGGTATTGAGAATCAAGCTGTCATTACTATGGAATTGATTGTGAAGTTGCACCAAGTCTAATTCAAATATAAACACACGTCATGTTTAATGGATTCATAATCTTCACCAGTAAAGTTAGTTTTTGAAAAAAAACAAATTAGACTTCAGGTATATGAACAAAATAAGCAAACTTCACCAAATCCTTGTAACAGAATATAATATTGCCTACTAACCATAAGTTTTGGTCCAAAACACAAATATTTCATTTTTACAAATTGACATTAGTAGTAATTAACAGTAGGTTCAACCAGAATAGATGAACATGTCCCTACCTTTAATCTTTGTTGAGCCTGAGCAGGAGTTAAACCTTTACCCTGAACCAGTTTCCAGAACACTGTATTATACAGATTGTTTATATGACCTGTAAAATAGTGAATGAATACCAGTACATTCCTACAGTTCTTGCCATGTATTCTTGAAAACGATCTTAGAGCTAGGATGTCCTAGAATCAATGTTGGAAGATAAGACATCCTAGCGCTAAGATCCTTTCGAGAATATGTGGCCTTAATATTAAATAAAAAACATTACATCTTAACTGTTAATGAAATATCAAATATAATCAGATGTATCTGGAAATTTAAAATAAAATTCAACAATGAATCTACATAAATATCAACGCACATAAACAAGTTTTGTATTCATACGCCATATTATCACATGAGATACTACAGTATATCAAAATATAAGTTGGGGTTACTGGTTTGTAGTGATATTAGAAATGGAAACATTGTGAATATACTTACAATCAGCTTGTCTCCAGGACAAATAATCTCGTAATATCTGGTCATTAGGATATAGAACTATCCGACTGTCGAAAGATGGAGGGTATTGAAGGTCCTGGGTACTAAAAAATCTCGGCCAAAACATGACAAAAGCTGAGGTAAATAAACTGACAACATTGCTGACTATTTTACTGAAATATATTTTTTACAATAATAAATATTTTCATTTTTAAGATAGTGCCAAATACATCAATTATAGAGCGATATAGAAATACCACTGTTTAAATAGTGCTCAATACATCAATTACAGAGGGATATAGAAATACCACTGTTTAAATAGTGCTCAATACATCAATTATAGAGGGATATAGAAATACCACTGTTAAAATAGTGCTCAATACATCAATTATAGAGGGATATAGAAATACCACTGTTAAAATAGTGTTCAATACACCAATTGTAGAGCGATATAGAAATACCACTGTTTAAATAGTGCTCAATACATCAATTATAGAGGGATATAGAAATACCACTGTTAAAATAGTGCTCAATACATCAATTATAGAGGGATATAGAAATACCACTGTTAAAATAGTGTTCAATACACCAATTGTAGAGCGATATAGAAATACCACTGTTTAAATAGTGCTCAATACATCAATTATAGAGGGATATAGAAATACCACTGTTAAAATAGTGCTCAATACATCAATTATAGAGG